ATGAGGTGTGCGTACCGTCGTCGTCGCCTTCACCGCCGTACCTGCAGCTGACCCTGGAGAGCTTCAACCTGGACCAGGTGCTGGCTGAGAACCCGATCTTGACCTCACTGGAGACGGCCGACGCCACCGACGACCAAGGTCAGTGGTGTACGATGCGTCCGAATGGGAGTGTTACTGATTTGCCACAGTATTCATCACATACCTCATCCACGACCACCGTCCCACTGTCGGCTGTCGTGACGCGGGCTGCTCCGGTGACAGTTCACGTGATGCCTATTAAAGATAACACGTAGATGATGATATCAGTCAGGAGAGGTTTAGTCAATCGTTGTCATTTTTAGCACATCCTTTTTTGTCACACGTGCTAAAAATAACAACGATTCTGCTATTCTTGACAACGATGTAGCCGATTTCACTCCTCAGCGAGGAAATCACGATTTTGGAAGATAAGCTCAGATTTTGGAAAAGAAGTGCTGCCACCTGGTGCAAGAAGTAGAAGCCGTCTTAAATATGCCCGTTGTTTGTATGGTAGTTTGTTTTGTGGCCTTAAGTTGGAACTAAAAATTGAAGCATCCGAAAATGATCGATATCAAAAACATTATGGTGATTGTTCTGTATTAGCCTTAGCCAAACTGGCTGACAGTACTTTAGTAACGGCAGCATTTTAGGGACATGTGTCGCCCCCTTTTCACGGGGCCTCTGTCGCCCATATATGGCTCATGGCTGTTGTTGTGTGTCCGACCGTAGTGCGACAACTGCGCAATATATAGCTCGAACCGAAGATAAAGTCTCAGTTATGAAATAAGCGGACAAATGTCACGACACAACAAAATTGGCGACGAGGATGAGATCAAAAGAATCAAAAAGTGAGATCAAGCTGAGATAAAATGAATAAGAGCTGAAAGGAGATTGATGGAATGTCACAAGTGCGCAACAATTGTCGCAAGGAAAGAAAAGTTGATTTACGATGCGAATGAAGATATAAGGAGTTGTTGAAAAGTGAAGAAAGTGAAAAAGGAACAAGGAAAATAAGTGAAAGGTGTGAAAGACGGTATTTGAGTTGCTAAAAGAAATTAGAATGGCTACAAGTCTGCCATCGTGTTTTGACTAGGGCCAAAATCTGGCCAGTACGCGAAATGTCGACTATTTTTAAACGTTTTCATTTGGCCACTATCGTGTTCAAAAATGATCAGAGCATCTTCAGCGACGAAAACTTTTATTCTTTTTACTTTTGAAAACGCTGAAAATGTACAACAAAGTGAGATAACTCTCAAAGGCTGAACTTCAGCGAACAAACGCAGAAACAGTCGCCTTGCTTCACGTCAACATCTTTGAGGTTTGGATCGACAAAACTATATAATTCGGGTACCAAACGATAGCGCGAACTTTTGGCTTTGTAATGAGCCATAATTTATATAATTATAATGCATGTAGAGGTGTTACGTTCATTGATTTCCGTCAGTGGCACATTTTTTGAAAAATGCCTATGTTCTTATAGAGCTACAAAAAATGGTACGCTAGTGAACGGTCTCGTACTACCATGGGTGTAGAAACGTTTTCAAGGTTGGTGTGGAGTAGGGTCGCACTCGTATCCATATGCCACGACCCGGATTGGTTCATGCTTTGTTATATGTGCCTAGTCATCGGTGAAAATGTGCACGATTGTATTCTGCTTTTTCTACTGAATTCACATATGTGCATCTTGCCTTTTCTATAATTAAGGCAATTGTAACAATAAATAATGTACCGATCAGCTTATGTAAATATGAAAAGGCATGAACGTTCAACTCTGTGACCTTTTTTACATTTATTTATTACACATATCGTGCTTCGAACTATCACAGTAAAACATGTCGGCCTATCAGGGCATCGGGCGGGAAATGGAATAGTCATCCGCCTCACGCCTGGCGCCGGTCCATCTATAGACTACAGTCTACACCATGAAACGCTGGCCCCGGATTGGTTTCTGGCTGATGAAACCAGACAGGTTCCTGGCCAGCTGTGCGACATCGGCCGACTCAACCTCACCAGGATAGGCCGCAGAGCGCACAGACTAGTCTACACCATGAAACGCTGGCCCCGGACTGGTTTCTGGCTGATGAACACCCTGGCCAGCTGTGCGACATCGGCCGACTCAACCTCATCGGGATAGGCCGCACAGACAGCCGTGGCGTTTAGACGCCGCTGGCTCATGGTCGTTCGGAGCCACGTTTTGATCCTGCGCAGGAGTGAGAAACTGCGCTCTGCGCTGCACGAGGTAGCCGGCGCAGTGAGCAGCATCTTTACCAGTTGAACCACTTCTGTCATGATCGTCCTAGCACTTACGTCCGAAATCAGGAGTTCCCTCACGTCCTGTAGGCAGCTCAGTTCGATGCCGCGCGTATGGGCATAGTCCTGGAGAGTTTCCACATGGGTTCGAAGTCGCGCCGGATTTAAGTCAAAGAATGTCGCAATGTCATTGATGAACTCTCCATCTTCAGGTGCCACCAGGCATCGCTCTGCGTTTGCTAAGGTAGCCGCATCAGTGCTGATCTTGAAACGCTCGTTAAGCGACGTGCGGACTGCATCTACGCCCTGGTAAAAAACCTGCCGATAGAGGTCCTTGGCGGTTTGATGTCTGTGTGGCGTGCTCCCCTCGTCCAGCCTCTTTGGAGGTCTCGTGGCTCGGGGTAGGACTGGCTCCTCCACACCTGCTTCTGTGGCAGCATCAGTGACCTGGCACCAGAACCGATCGAAGTTGTCACGTTGCGCCTCCAACGTTGTCTCCAGAGTGCCGACCATAGACAGTGTCTGCTGCAGGCTGAGTTTCGGCCCCTGTACGGCTCTGGTCACTGGAGTGACTAGGTCCAGGAGCTTCAGCGCGAGTGAAGCCGCGAAGTAGAAGCGAAAGCATGACATGCTTCTCGCAAAACCGCTCGCCGTGCTCCGAGCCTCTGGCCGGGATTCGCGGTCACTGGCTAGTTCGATTAGGAACTCCATGATCGTGACATAGTTGTTCAGAACTGATCGCACACACGCGTCACGACAAGTCCATCGCGTCGGGCACAACGGCCGCAGAGCCGTCGCGCCGTCCTTTGCCGAGAAGGCCGCCAGCCGCTTGGGTGAGTCGCGCAGGTATTCGACCATGCGACCCAGCTCGTGCAGACCGTCACGAAGTTCACTCACTTCGGCAAACGAGTCCTGAACCACAAGATTCATGCGGTGAGCTGCACAGTGAACGAAGAGCGCCTTTGGTTGATCAGCTTTAATGAGGGCCTGGAGACCACTGAAAGCGCCGGACATGTTTGCCGCTCCATCATAGCACTGTGCCCGCAACTTGTCCATATCCAGCTGACAGCGCGTCACTACGTCACAGACGACTTTATGAAGCGTAGCCGCTTTAGTGTTGGGCAGTTCATAGAGGCCAAGGAAATCTTCGAACACCTCCAGGTCGGGTGTCACGTACCTGACGCAAATAGATGCCTGTTCGCGCCGACTCAGGTCTGCTGTCTCGTCCATTATGATGCCGTATGCTTGGCAGCTCCGCACTCTTTTTAGAATCGTTTCCTGTATGTTGTTGGCATACAGCTGCAATATTTCGTTTTGAATGTCAGGCGACAGGTATTTGACCCCCGTTCGGTTCATCCAGGTCTTCAGTCCCGGCACGTAGCTTTCCATTCTTCGGAGCATTCGACGGAGGTTGCCGGTATGCTCTTCACGGCGACGAAACGCGATGCCTTGCCCTGCTAGAAAGCCGATGGCGTCGATGATGCAGGTCAGTCCCACTCCAGCCTCTTTCAAGCTCTTCGCTGTCGCGCTGCTCACCATCTGCATCAGGTTTGATTCTCCTTGCCCTTTCTCCACTGTGACGAGGCTCTTCATGGCAGTGACATGCGTCGTTGTGGTTTCATGTTTTTTAAGGCGCAGCGGTCCGTTTTTCCATGTCGCAAAACCTTCCGTGATGAAGTTCGCCTCGCGACGGCGCTCAGATAACAGAAGGTTTTTGGCCTCGGCTTCACGGCAGATACTGCAGAATATCTTATCTGCTACGGCATCATACACAATCCAACCAAATTCGCGCTTCCACTTCGCACATAGCTGATAGTGTTTGGAGCTCGGACCACGGGCTACGGCTGACTGATTCTCTCCTATGGCTGCTGAAGTTGGTGTCTGTTCCACTAAGGAGCTGGTGGTGGCAGCTGACCCCGCTGAGGCGATAGAGATCGGCACATGCTCTCCAGGGGATGAGGAATTGGAGCCGGACTGCCGAGAAGGAACAGGCTGACCATCCGGCTCGCTGATCGATGATTGGCCCTCTGAACAGGATGGCTCCTCTGAGATGGTGTCACAAGCCATAGAGTGGTCGGATCTGGTGGGATTGGGCTGCTCCTGGCTCAGGTTGACAGGATTCCTAAAACAACAGAGCATTGTGTGAAGAAAGGATCTTTTAGCATCTGAGAGGACATCATGAGGTTGAGCATGTATGTCGTAACTTTTATATGATGGTATCAACTATATTTGCATTTCTTGTTTTTCTATACTTCTCTTATGCATGTAAGCCTTATGTAAGCATTCTGCATTAGATAAATATGTTTTATGGAAGGAAATCCTGATCAATTTAGTAGAATACTTTCACACAATAAATAACAACCAATCTTCTTCAATTTGGAACATGGTGTTAAACAGTGGACTGATAAATGATTATTCATTATACAAGAAATATTGCCAAAATCTGCTAAAGATTTTGAGTGATGGCCAAAAAACCAGGCCATGTAAAGGACATATACACAAATGATGATACCAGGAACATAATAAAAGAGGAAACATAATAAAAGAGGAAACATTTAATATAATATAGCAGATAAACCAGCAATGAAGTTGAAGGGATGATTTTCAAAGCATTTAAAGTTTTATAATATCTGCAATTGACTGTGAAACAATGTCAAAAACTTGGTCAACAAAATGCACAATGCATATGGTTGACCAATGACAACGCTCAAGATAGGTACTTGATGTGAAAGTGATGGTTTATTTCACTGTCAAGTACCAAGCGACAAAGGCAGGCATCACTAACACAACATGACATTGTGAAGTCTCAAAACATTAATTTTGCATTTTTTACAGATCATGTGTCATTTTATTGTTCCTTTTTTATTGTA